GTTCCTATTTAATGTCTCTTCTAACTAATTGTCGCTAAACAGCAGCAAGGATCAACTTCTTCTCTTTAAAATACATTAACAAAAGGAAATTGTTCTTGAACTTTATATCAACAAGTTCCAACTTTTCCCCTGTGGAAGTCCTTGGAATTGCCAAGCACCTCGGAGCAGTGGTAAGGCTGGGACCCTTGGCTCACTGCCAGGAACGTTCCATCTGGGGCTAGTCTCCTGGCCCCTACATCCTGATTGCCTTCCTCTTTATCATACCCTCCATACCACCCCCCCCCCCTTTTATACTAAGCTTTACAGGACTTACAAGTAGGATGGGAAAATATGACAAAATAAAGCTGAAAAATTGACCTCGAGAATGAGATCGGCTTGATTCTTTCCATCACCAGGTAAATCCACGCTCCTAAACCTGGCAGGGGCTCAGGATGATGAACCCCAGACCCAGCTGCCTCAGACCCTCAAGTTTTAAGCTGACCCAGGAGCCACCAGATTGTGCAGAGTGGGCAAGGCAAAGGCAACTTCAAAGTCAACGTTCCTCTGACTGGGCTTTGAGGGCGACCAAGAGTGCCTGGGCCTCCAGCCGTGTGGGAGCGCCCCCATTCATCGCGTTGGACACCGCAGGAGAGGCCTCGGAAACCGTACCACCAGCTGGGGAGGTTTCTCACAGAGGATCTCTCCCGGATCTCAGACATTATTAGTCAGACTGGACCTTTTCTGCTATACTTTTTCAGCCAGAAGACAATCCCCACCGCTCTCGGAGAATTCGCTTTTTCAGAGCATCCCCCAATCTAAAGTTGAAGTTATTTCTGCCAAACTTTGTTTTTATTTTTTAAAGTGTTCTGAAATAGAAAAATTGAGACACACGCACACAAAGTTCTCCTTCTCAGCCACACATAGCTACCCAAATTCAGGCTTCTCCTGTAAACTAGATAAGCAATAGACTGTCTATCAGAGCTGTAGAAATAACAAAGAGGAACTCCTGTTTTGGGGATTTCAAGATAGTTTTTGTTCTGCTCTAATTTTATTTGGGACCCTATTTCAAATTTCAAGAAAATATTAGGATGATCACTAGGAAAGTTGATTATAACCTAAAATCTTCTTTGGTCTTCACCTTAATTTTCTAATTACAATGCTGCGCTGTTTGATGAATATTTTAGAATCCTTTCAAAGCCGCAGGTGTGTTTCTTTCCGCAGTAACAAAACTGTATTCGTCTTTACTCAACGTCCTCTAGTGTATGTATATTTGCTATCCAGCACTCGACCAAAAATGCTGATGTGTTCGCCAACTGGCCTCAGTGAGTCAATCAATCCAGTTGGGTGTTCCCCCAAGTGAGTGATCAGAGCTGCCCCACCCTGCTGCGGGCAAAGAGGAGGAATTTTTCACATCTCCTATCCTTTGACTACTTCAGTATTGCATTACTTCGCAGTGCTCCTCTCTGAAACTGTAGAGTCAGTATTTCCCTTCTGATGCTCCACTTTAAGGGGTCATCTATGGGCCAGGAGATTTCGCTGTGGGTGATTTCTTACCCTCATTGCCCTTGCAACAAGGCTTTTATTTAGACTTTCCTTTTGTCACCTTTCCAACTTGCCAATTCTCTCCGTAGCCCTGGCTCTTTCCCCAGTTCTTGAGGGAACAAAGTTCAAGCGCACGCATTTCTCGATTTCCTGCGGCCAGGGGGCACTAAGTGAGCAGCTGAGGTCACCCCCTCCTTGGAGCCTGAAACCCGCTTGCGGGATCCCACCCAAATGAGGAGAGGGAGCTGAGACAGTGACTCAGAGTTGGCGACGATTAAACCAGGTAACGAGACACCGGGCAGATGTGTTTTCATTGCCCTGTAAGATAAATGCAGTGTTAAGTGCCTGACAACTTCCCAGAAGCAATCAGCAAAAGTTTACGAGTGCATAAACCTCAAAGACCATTCCCCGGCGGTTGTTATAAGGACCGCTTTTAGAGCTTCTATAAATTCTCTCGCCGTTTCCCAAAGCAAAGTTTCTAGTGACTATTAAGCAGCCACCTCCTCCGAGGAGACTAGGGGGATTTTCTTGAACCGCAAAAGAAAGAGGATTTTGCCTTCTACTGAGTGAAATAAAGTTGCGCAAAAGTTTGTTCCAGAAGTTTGGGAAGAGGAAGGTGGTGCTGGGAAGTCGTGGAGGTGGGATCCGGGAAGGGACAATAGATGCCTTTGGGTGTAGAGCTACTAGATTCTTGCGAAAAAAGCAAGATCCGGTGAGGGTCCGGGGTCTAACACCCGCACGCAGCGCCTTTCCCACACTTGGGCTCTGCAGAGTACAGGACCGCAAGGCACCTACCGCTAAGACTGCGCTATCACCACGCCCGGGAACGGTTGACCCTACGCGCTTCAAGTGGCCACTGCGAGACCCACATGAATCCAGGCGTCCAGAGCAAAGTTTTGGACCACAGGAAAGGGCAGGCTGAATGGACATTTAAGTCAGACATCAGGGGACGTGTAGCCACCCCACCCAAAGCCTTAAAGGTGTTAGCTTCCGTCATTCTATAAGTAGCCCGAGAACTTTGAGATGTTAGGATTCTAGGCAAACACGATCCACCTATGTTTATAGAGAAACTTCGTTTATGATCCCAGTGAAAACAAAGCTAATTGAAAAAACAATAACAGTAGCGTGTTTTAGCTTCCTAAAGGGAGAGGTTAACAGCTGCTAGCGCCGGGGGAGGGAATGAGGGAGGCCAGCCCTGAGCTTGAGACCGCCCTGCACGTAAACAAGCCTTTAGGTCCCCAGCGAGACACGTGGCCAGGCTCAAGCCTTCACAGGCGTGGGTTTGGGCCAGGCAATAGAGCCTCCAGCAGTCCGAAGGCTTTCTCAGCCTCTGAGTTCCAGTACATCCGAAGGAGCTTAGGTAACCAAGGACTGAGTGGATCTAAGCAGGGGGCTGTGTTTCTGTCCCTGGAAGATGAGATCTCAAGCAATTATTTTGTAAAGATAGCCCTGGCTGGGCCCTTTTTCATCCTTTCCAGGTGAAAATGCAGACATTTTTGTGTCACCCTCACCCTTCCATTATGAAATAAGGCTCCCAACTGTTCTGATATTACCATTCAAAAACAGGTTCTGTGGTGAACCTCATTTGTGAATCTATTACAGAGATTAATAGATTATTTCTCCTTTTTCAACTAATTCTCAGTGGGGAAATTTAACCATATGGTAAGGAGAGAATTAGAATTTCATCACATTAGAGCAAAATGTAATGAAAAGAGTCCAACACCTGGGGCCAACTCTGAAAGCCACAATTAAAAGGTTTTTAATGAAACCAGAGAAACCCAAAACTGCACAGCCTTCAGTAATTCTGCCACATAAGAAAGAATTATTGGAGGTGTTGGGAAATATTGTTTTTACTTATGTCATAAGGATGAAAACCGACTGCTCAATACCATGTGCTCCTAAAGGCTCAGCTCTGAAGCAAGAGGACCCAGTGTACCATTTCCCATCCGGAGAGAAGCACTTGTTTTCACAGTTCTTCCCTTAACTCACCCTCCAAGAACAACCTAGACAGATCCAGATGTCCCTGAACAGTTAACCTAGATGTGGCAGTTCCAGTTCCGGTTAAATAAATATGCACAAGTGCCCACACTTAGTGTGTGAGAGGATCTAACTCTTAGTATTGACTCTTGTAAAGCAACTGGATTTTAATCTTGAGGAAAGTTTGAGACACCAGTTTCTTCCTGTTTAGAAAATAGTGTGTTTTATAGTTACCATCACCACATCAGTTATTTGGGTATCCTTGTATAAGCACACCGGCTACCCCTTCCTTAAAAAAAAAAAAAAATCAAATGAGCTGCATATAATCAATTTTATTCTTCGTTTTGCTTTTTTAATTTTTTTCAATCCGGGTAGGAACTGGGCAGTGGAGGGGTGTGGAAAAAAGGAAGAGTGTTGGGGGGTGGGGAGGACGATTGCTTTGCTCTCTTACTAGCTGAAAATCTAGAGCGAATTTTGGACAAGCCTGCTGGGACACCACCTTCCCCCTGGAAAGTCCCATTTCCAAATCCAGACCTGAGACATCCTATGAACAGGGGTGGAGTATAATTCTCGCCTGAAAGGGTAATTTAGCACAAGCTGAAACAGCAGTGGTGAGGGAAGGGCAGTGGGGGTGGGGTGCGGTGGGTGGGGGCGTCTGCTTTCCTTGGGACTCCCAGGCTTCTCAGCCGATCTACAATTTGCTGAAGGAGCAAAGAACATCCTCGGCTCTAAGTAGGGCTTTTAGTGTGCTCATTGATGAGTGAAAGTCGCCACACATGTCAAGCTAAAGGCAGTTGTTGGGTTACTAACAGGACCCAGCGCCTTGCAAACATATGCGCTAAGCTGTGTATACAGATGGCAGGCAGAATAATGGAGCAGGCGCCTTTTATAAAGCTCTAGCTGCTGCCTGTCTTCAGACCTGGGAAATGAAACTATTCAGACTCGCGGCCAGATAGCGCCTGCGATTGTTTGTTACCGTTTTAATCCTATTAATTAAAACGTTAACCTGATTGGGTAGAAAGCGCTGTCCCAACAGGCGAGTCTTCTTCATAATAACCTACTCAGAGATAATGATGTAAAAGACTCCCCCGTCTGTGGCGGCGGCTGGTTGATGGGTCCGGAAATCTCTTGAAGGTGAATCCAAGCAAGATAAACGGTGCGGAGAGGAGGCGCGGGGCTGGGCTCAGAGCGGCGGCGGCGGCGGCGGCGGCTCCACTCCCTCTGCTCCCACCCTCCCACCATGCGGGGCCGCGGCCCATGGTGAGCCCCAGCAGCCAGCACCATCGGCTGGAGACGAAAAAGAAAAAGAAGAGGAGGCGGCGAGCGCGGGGGAAGGCGAAAAAGAAAAAGAAAGAAGGGGAGAGGGCTGCCGGCAACACCGGGACCGACGCGCGCACCAGCTCCGGAGCCCGGCTCGCGCGCGTCTGTGGGGCCGCCTGACTCCGGAGCCGAGGCGGCGGCAGCGGGTGCGGAGGGCCCGAGCTGCACGCCGGCACCGGACCATGGAGCGCGGGCTGCACCTCGGCGCGGCGGCCGCGGGTGAAGACGACCTCTTCCTTCACAAGAGCCTGAGCGCCTCCACCGCCAAGCGCTTGGAGGCGGCTTTCCGCTCCACGCCCCCGGGCATGGACCTGTCCCTAGCGCCGCCGCCTCGGGAACGCCCGGCGTCCTCCTCCTCGTCGCCCCTAGGCTGCTTCGAGCCGGCTGACCCCGAGGGGGCAGGGCTGCTGCTGCCGCCTCCTGGAGGAGGTGGTGGAGGTGCGGGAGGTGGCGGCGGCGGGGTGAGTGTCCCCGGGCTGCTCGTGGGCTCAGCCGGCGTTGGGGGCGACCCTAGCTTAAGCAGCCTGCCGGCTGGGGCCGCCCTATGCCTCAAATACGGCGAGAGCGCGAGCCGCGGCTCGATGGCCGAGAGCAGCGGCGGAGAGCAGAGCCCCGACGACGACAGCGACGGCCGCTGCGAGCTGGTGCTGCGGGCCGGAGGCACCGATCCGCGGGCATCCCCAGGCGCCGGAGGTGGCAGCTCCAAGGCGGCAGAGGGCTGCTCCAACGCCCACCTCCACGGAGGCGCCAGTGTCCCCCCGGGGGGCCCTGGTGGCGGCGGGGGTAGCAGCAGCGGTGGCGGTGGCGGCGGCAGCAGCAGCAGCAGCAAGAAATCCAAAGAGCAAAAAGCACTGCGGCTCAATATCAACGCCCGGGAGCGCCGGAGGATGCACGACCTGAACGACGCGCTGGACGAGCTGCGTGCGGTGATCCCCTACGCGCACAGCCCCTCAGTGCGGAAGCTGTCCAAGATCGCCACGCTACTGCTAGCCAAGAACTATATCCTCATGCAGGCTCAGGCCCTGGAAGAGATGAGGCGCCTCGTCGCCTACCTCAATCAGGGCCAGGCCATCTCGGCCGCCTCCCTACCCAGCTCCGCGGCGGCGGCAGCGGCAGCCGCTGCTCTGCACCCAGCACTCGGCGCCTACGAGCAAGCGGCTGGCTACCCGTTTAGCGCTGGGCTACCCCCAGCCGCCTCCTGCCCGGAGAAGTGCGCCCTGTTCAACAGCGTCTCCTCCAGCCTCTGCAAACAGTGCACGGAGAAGCCTTAAACACACCCCCGAAAAACACAAGACCGACCCCAAAGCTAGAGGAAAGCGAAAAGCTGCTCCCCACCCCTTTTATTTTGGTCCTCTCGTAGTTGTGAAACACTTGCTGAGCAAACAAAGCAGAGGCAAGAACTGAGAAGTATCAGAGACAAACGGGACTTTTAGCCTTGACATGCCCAGAATCTCGGTCTTTGGGGTGGGGAGGGAGGGAGGAGGGAGGTGGAGTTGGGATGGAGTATGGATGTCTATTTTTTTTTTTTTCTCAGAAAAGTGGCAACTTTGGTGGCAGCCTAGACCTTAAGGAAGCAAAGTCTTCCTTAAAGGTGAAAAATAAGTTGAGAAATAGTGCTTGGTTATTAAGCGTTGAGAATATTGAATGGCAAAATACTAATCCTACTAATAATTGTGAATTTGGCTAGTGCTGAAGGGGAGAGAAGGAGTCCAGGCTTGGGAGACATGTGGAACGGAATATTCATTCAGACATATCAGAAAGGGCACTTGAAAATAAATTTTGATTCTGAGCCAGGAGAAAAACTTGAAATGTAGACTTATTTAAGTGGGGGGAAAACAGAGACATGTTGCTATGAAAGACTTGTATTTTTTATTGTCTCTGAACTTTAATCCTGTGAAAATGCTCAAAGTTCTGGCGAGAGTGATATAAAAGCAAACTGACTGTGGCTGAAAGAATTGCATTTAAAAATATTTATGTGCACCTTGTTACTTTCTACTCTGCAATGATGTATTAACAATTCATGGTATTTATTTGTTATTCTTCAATGACCCTTCCACATCAACAGTATTTATCATGTGTTAAGGTCATGGGTCTTATGTGCAGATTTTTTTAATGCCTCTAAAATTCTGTTTTATAGATTAACTTATACTGTGTGCCAAGTGTTAAAAGGTTTATTTGCCAACAAGTATGAAGAGAAATATTGATGTATCTGAGCTGCTTAGGTTTATGAAAGGTCACCTGGATATTTTCAGTTGCATCATCCCTGTATTTAAATTGAGCTTTAATAAATTGCTTCAGTCCAAAAATTACAGGAAAGGTGTATTCTTAATTGATGAATGAATTGATCTCTTTTTTTGAAAGGGGACTTATTTGCATTCCAAAAGGGAAAAAAAAAACATCACAGCAATAGATCCTATAAGTAAAGACATACTAAGCAAATATTTTTTTCCAGGCTATGCTGTGCTTTTTTTTTTTTTAAGAGGTCTAATTTAATTGCTTTTAAAATATATGTACATATATAAGTTATTTTATCTGTGGAAAATTATTTAAGTTTAAAGACTGGTTTGTTTTGTCTATGGTGTGAAATCCTTTGTTATTTTTCTAAAAAAAAAAAAATTAAAAGAAATAAAATAAAACTAAGGAAAAGCAAGAAGCTATTTACCCAAAGTGAGCTTTCAGTTTTAGTTTGCATGGCTGTTTGCCTGCATTTCCATCCTATGAAAATAAAAAAAAAAAAATCTTTTTTTTCTTTTTCTTCTTCTTCTTCTTCTTTTTTTTAAATGGAGTCCTGTTATTTTCCACTCCTTGAAGATAAAACAAATTCAGTTTGTCAGGTTGGATGGTGAGTTGGGAGCTGTGATGGATCTATCTGTTGGTGGGTTTGGATGTGTAAAGAATAATATATATTAAATAGGTCAATCAGAATATGACAGCTATGTATGACCATTTGTATGTGTATCTATGTCAGAAAGAATCTTTATTAAAATATTTTGATCAAACATTTTATTATGCTGTGCTTTGTGGAAGGAGCAACACCTCTCTTCTGTGTTACTTTTTGCTTGAAAGGTAACAGAACAGAAAGGAGTTTCAGAGAAGGTGGAACTAAAATTTTGGCAGGAATGCACAATTAGGAATAGTCCTAGTTTACTTGTTTACTTGTTAAAAGGACAATTGCTAGGCCTGGCCATGCAAAGAGAGGTGAATGGGGCCAGTGGTGGAACCCAGAAGAGGTCCAGAGCTCCTGGCTGCTGGAATGAAGTCAGAAGGCCATGCTTTCCCTGGAATTCTTTTCCACTTGAATGACATTGATAACCTTACCAGAGCCCACCAAAGTGGGTGAAGTTTCTAAAGAGTTTTTATTCAAAATTTCTACTTCCAAATACTTGAAAGCCAAGGAAAAAGAGATGGATTTAGATTTTCTGAACAATGAATCTTAATGTGGTTTTCCACTTTTGTGTGTGTGTGTTAAAAGAGTCAATTGGCTAGGTTGAATTACACGTGTCAACAAATGCCCATAGAGATTCAGAGCTTACTGTAGGTGTTGCTGGTTAAAGAGATTTTTTTTTTTTTTTTTATATTTGGATTGGGTTGGACCTGTATGCTACTGAAGGTTGAAGGATAATCTTGTATTTGGACCTCTATACTGCTCTCAAATGTAGAAGGTGTAATTTGTATTGTAGTGGAGGTTATAGAGTTGGTGGTGATGGTGGTGGTGATATGGTGTTAAGAAGTCATGTTGTTTCCTCTGTAGCCAGTAATGTTAAATGCATTTTTGTCTGTGTAGCCTCAGCTCATAAAGATATCCCTAAATGCCATCAAACTTAGTGGGGGGTGAGGGAGGATATTTTCTGCTCCACTTGCCATCAAAGAAGATTAATCAGAACCTGTAACTTTTCAGAAAACATAACAGCAAAGGGCCTTGAAGCTGGAGCCCTCCCAGTCTGGGAGTGGGGGTAGAGAGAGGGAAGAGAACAGGGCAGCCCCCAGGCAGGAGAAGAACGTCTCTTAGCATTTACCAGACAAAGCCTGGGTGCATCTAATTATGATTATTAAAACAATTTCCATGACGATGTCTAATATTATGTTAATTTGAAAACAACTGTGTATGAAAACTGTCGACTATAATACCTAAATTCATTTAATGAAACACATCGTTAAGGCAATTAAACCTCCTGGATGTGATTAAGAAACATAATTACGACACTGTTCTGCGCCATAATTGGGTGTCTTTAATCAAGGGGTAAAGTGATCAGCAACACAGCCATTAGTTTGTATTGTTCTGGCCCTGCTGTCCATCATTCTGATTAGGAATTAACCACAGCCACCACCAGTCGGATTTTTTTTTTCCTTTTGCATATTAACATTGTAGGGGACACATTTGCTGCAAGATTTACTGCTTAATATTTCTCATTATTAAAAGGCCTCCTTGAAATACTTCCTCTACAACCTCTGTACTGTTCGACTATTATTAGGAATTGGGCAGAATAACAAATCTTGAAATTCAGAAGGAAAAAAAAAAAGAAATACTTACCCTTTAATCACTCAGCCTCCAGGTTTAGTCCTGAAGAGACTTGAAATGGATGGGGGTGGGAGCAAGAGAGGTAATTTGAAAATACCTTGAAATGTCAGATGAATAAGCAACTATTAAATGTACCAGAATTAATGGTGTTTATTTCATTTTAATAATTTCAGACAAATCAACCTTCTTTCTATACCTAAGAGTTTCAGCATGTGGTTGTAGGAATAATGTGGGACATCTGAAAGAACAGAAGGTCTTCCAATTTACTTATGTGGCTCTCCCTACCCTAACCCCAAACTTTTCAAAATTTATGCTGCAGCAGTTTTTGGAGTGAGAACATTTTCACCCTCCCGACAAAACACATGAGGCCGCATTTCTTCTGAGGTTTGAGCCCTGAATTTCCGCTTGATCTGGAGAGTTTGGGCCATACATCTCTGGGCTGGGCCCCAGATGTGAGCATAGCTTGGGCAGCTGGATCAAGACTGGGTGACTGAACACCAGGGGGGCCAGTGTGTTCTTGACGAAGTGCCCTTGGGCCAGAGCAGGCAGTCAAGCCCTTAAGACTGTGGAGAGTGGCAGAGCATAGAGGTTCGCTGGGGAGACTGCTCTGGCACCCACGGCGCCTGGGGACACTTCTACCAGGCGCACCTCGCAGGGCCAATCCCTCAGTTTGGGTGCCTTAGGGAACTAGGAGTGGGCAGATGAATCCCAGGGAAAACTTAAGTTTCACTTGGCTTTATAGACCCACTTTGAGTCTCTGGTCAGCTTGACACTGGACACAGAAGCTGCAGCTTTTCATTTACCCAGGACCAACAAATGATCATCTTCAGAAAGCTCTCTAGTTACCCCTCCTCCGCTCTTCGAGTGGTGCGTGTGTGTGTGTGTGCGCGCGCGCCCGTGTGCGCGCTTTGCAGTGCGCTCTGGACTGCAACTGGCAACCCCTCCAAGACCCTGTTTTACACCGAAATTCTTCTTCTCGTCGCCCCACTACCCATCCTCACGGTCGACAGTCCCCTAGGGAAGACCGAGTCTCACGGAGTTTCCTTTTTCCACGCACTCTTGGTCACTGCCGCCAGAACCGAACCTTTCTATGCGACCCCGACCCTGCAATCGCTCCAGGAAGTGGCATTGACTTTTCCAATGTAATGACTTATGAAAGATATAATCATGTGTTAAATTGAATCCTCCGTTTAACTGTTAATGGTGTGCTCTGGGCACATTTACGTATTAGATGCTATGGTAACTAATTACCACTAGGAAAAAGGATAATACACTTCCCAGACTTTGAAAAATAATGATGGGAGTTCACTTCCCGGCTCGCAGCACATTGTGGCGGCTCTGCCCGGCGGAGCGAGGGAAGAGAGTGGAGATCCGAAAGTGTGCTCCTGGAACGCGGGAGGTAATGAATCCTGGTCAGACGAGGCTTCTCAAGTCAAACCTTTAATGAAAATGAGATTCAGCTGGGGAAGTGGAGGGCGGGTGTGGGGCGCCAACTACACAAAGATGCCTCTACACCAAATTTAACTGCAAAACCTTAACATCAGAAACAATCGAGTTTTCTTTTTATTAAAATGCCGATCAGACTAAATTATCCACGTGCCAAGAAACTTTATATCAATGAAAAATTTTTGTTGTTGTTTTGTGGGCAAAATAATCCAGCCTGTCTCCTGTGAGCTCTGCGTTGGCATTTGTAACTCGAAAGTCCCAGTATTTGCCAAGCCAAGTGAGCTGCAGGTTGATTTAAACGGAGCC